ATCTAGTTCATCAATTAAGAAAATCAAACGGTTTCCATTGCAGTGCCACCTACGCTTGATCCGATGCGATTGGACATTGGAAACATTTATGATTGGTTCAAGAATCCCATTCAGCATTCGGTAAGCACCGTCCGCCTTAGCTTATTGTAAATTGATCTATGCTTTCGTATAACTCAGCATTTCTCTCCTTGTTAGCAACTATGTGAATTTGTCTGATTCCAAAAAGACTCATATTTTTATGTGCCAATCACTTAATTGGGTGTAATCGGCGGAATCAGTTGCTTATTGTGGAATCAAATAAGGCATCAGGATCTCAATAAGTATTGTTTCATAATCGTTATCGTGAGGTTCTCGCTCGAAATTTCACCAATTTATTCGACTTGTGATTTCAATTACAAGTGTTGTGCATTTGAAATTATGTGTTCATCCAGTAAGGAATATCATTAAGCAATGAAAAGTTCCACATTTCAGGTGATGCCAATATCGTGGTACCCGAGGAACTTCACAATTCCGGATCTCAATCTAATGGATCACAGTGTTCGTCTTAGCGATGATACGATATATGGAGTGCAGTTGGGTCTGTACGTGATTGGTTACAAAGAGTCACTCGATGATCAGGTAGATGCCTAGAAAAAAAGGAATTTCTCATCGATACACTTGACTTTTTCTGATTCCATTATTGTCAACATATGACTAGTTTTTGAGCTTTCACCTCATGTTCTACATTTAAGTAAATGGGCTTGTCCAATCGCTCGCTTGAGTTTTTTAAAATCATAATCTGAAATCGCTATCATTTGCTGCTGATGTTTCAATTCTTCCGCCATCACCTTGATTAATTCCAATGGAATCAGCTCAGCAACAACGATTTAATGACACCATTTGGTGGTTATATCAAACCATTTCATTGATGAATTTCAAAATTCGGATTTGTTGTTGCAATCTACAGTTGATCACTTCTCTTCTTCTCCCGCCTACTAAAATGTCATCGAGAATTTTGGGTAATTTCCCAGCACGAAATCGTGATAAAGTTTTTCTGATGATTATTGCGTTCTTCAGATAAAAAAATTTCGTCCTGAGCATCGCACATTGTGCCGTTTAGCGACGTATTCGAACAAAAACACACCAGAATTCCGTTGGAAACCACAAGAAGACCGAATTAATATTTATCAGGTAATCAATTCCTTATAACAACCTCAATGTTTCTCCTCTCATGTAAATTCGATCAGACAACTTTTTGTAAGAATTCGAATTTTTTCGTACGCTAACGCAATACTTCCTCGAAGTTTCCATAAATGTCACCTTCTAAACCGATAGTCTTCTAGGGCTGAATGACTTACAGTTTACGATCACTCGTGTTTCGCAAATATTATGCGAATGCTTTGATTTCATAAAACAATCGAATTATTTGGTTGAGTTGATGGACATCAAAACAGAATACCTTCAGAAATGAATCACACTGTTCATTGTTCTATTTGTATTTCGTTGAAATGAATGCAGTGTTTTTAAAGGTC